GGTATTATGAATTGTGTTGTTTGAAAATTAATCAGTTCAGTGCTTTGTAAAATAGCACTATAATTTTGGCACTTTTTTTGTCAGTATATGTAACTATTTATTTATTGCTACATGATAGAATTTCTTATTCTATGCACATCTATGCATTTGCACATCTAATTCATGTCGCATTTTCTAATGAAGGGTGTGGGGAGAAGTGCAGCAGAACTGGCTCTGGTATCACCAGTGAAGAGGGCTGTAAGAGTTTAAAAAAGACTCTGCAGCTGCAACCTAAAATTCTGTTCTGGAGCTGAGCATTGAATTAGACCTAATCCTAGATATAGGTTTTGGTTTTTTTTAAAAAGGGTGAGGGAGAAGGAGTGCAATTAAAAAATGTTAAAAGGTTTGCAAATGTTACGGTGTGGCTGATGCAGGAATGTTGGGGGGGGAATTTGTGCAGGAATTTGGGTGTGGGGGAGCATTGCTTTCCACTCCTGCTGCTGGTGTTGCTCAGAAGTAATATATAAGGAATGAAGATAAAATAACTGTATTTTGTCCAAACTGATCAAGTTATAACAAGGGAACTGTAATTCAGCTAGAGTGTCAGTTTGGATATCATCTCCTGATTTCAGGTTTCCAATCCTGTGTGTTATTGGCTCTGCTGACAGTGATGAGAGACAAATCTCTCTGCTGTTGGCAGGAACAGAGGAGTTCACACAGGCATGGTGTGACAGAATTCTTCACATAAAAATTATCCTTGCTAATATAATGTAATCATCCTTTAATGAAGTGGTCCTGCGGTTCCCAAAGGATGTCTCAAGTGAAGACTGTGCTTTCATCCCACTGGATTGTCAGTGTATTTAGTGTACCAGTCACACCCATGCCTAGGTGTCACCATTAGCCATTGCTGCTTGCCTCCTTTCCAGGCCTGGTTTTCATTTGCTTTCCACTTTTGCAGCTCAGTTCAGGTGCGAAAGAGGAAGACAAGCCAAGTGAGCGCATTTATATTTTTATTTGTTGCAGAATGACCATGATTTAAAAGCTAGTGATCAATTTAGTTGACCTAACTGTAAAGCCAAGTTGAAAAATGTATCCTCTGAGCATGTGCAGTATTGCAGAACTGCTGGCTGTGTGCGTTGATGCCTTTTTGTGTTGGTGGTTCGTAGGAAAAGCATTCCAAGTACTTATTTCTGCACATACTCTCACCCTGTTTCAGCTGCTGCTAGTCAAGAGGACTTGCACTATACTTTTCATGTCTTCCTGACTTACAGGCTATAAAGGGCCTTGTTCACCGGAGTTTGAAACTCTGGCAAACACTTTGCTGCAGATCTATTAAGGATGCTACAGCATTCCCAAGTGTGGTTGAGGCTGCCTGAAACTGCTGAGCTGGCATTTCACTTCAGACGGTGTTCACAATAAGGGCATACACACAAATCCTCCCCCACCGGTCCAACCCCAAAGCTCACAATTAAATGGCCTTTGAAAATGGCAAAGAGGCTTATGAAGAATAGCCTTGATGGAATCTAACCTTTCCCAGAGCTGCCCTTGTGTGCAGAATAGTTGATAATTTTCCGAGCTGAGAACGTAGGGAGGCGAACGCCTTTTAGCTGGAGCGAAATATCTGCAGCCTTCTTGTGTTCTGCATGTAAAGTACCAGCAAAGTCTGCCCTGGCTCGGTGTGGGCACTCAACCTCCACAGAAATCACAGCCACCAAGGTTCAGTTCACTTCAAAGCCCTTGCTTTTTTTTTGCGAGAGCACAGAGGTGTGCAGACAGCTGGCCAGCCCGTCCCTGGGTCTGGTACCAGATGGGTGATCCCTGCCGAGGGCAGCCACACCACCTGGTGTGGGACACTCTGGGTAGTCACTGCTGGGAAGGTGGTGGGGCAAGGACTTAGGGGTCTCTACTTACTTGACTTCTGTAATCTTAAGGAAAGGAAAATTTCCTTTAAGTTGCAGCAAAGTTTAAAAATAAAGCAAGAGGGGAAATGTACCTGCCTTGCAAGTTCGGTCTTTGTCACTTTCAGATGAAGCTAATGAAATCATTCCTTGGAAAATGCCCATCTCCAAGATAATTAATATTACACCATAAGGAGAGATCTGGGGTTACCGGTATTAAAAATATATGAAAACAGTTGGAGTCCAGTGTTTCTTTGGCAATAGAAATTTTATTTAAAAGGTCTTAGGAAAGCAGTTAGGTATTTTCAGAAATATTGAATTCCAAAAGCTTAAACCATATACACTAAATTCACTGATATGTGGTTAGACCTTACCATAAAATATGAAAATAAAAAATTCAACTTGTCTGTGTCATGTTGATTAGTGATTAACCATCCTAGTTTTTCATACTGAAATGATCCTTTTGTTCTTCTATCCCTCACAGGCCTGGGATTCTATAATCCTATCTGTATTTACCTTTGCCAGATATCCAATGGCTTTTAAATATTTTCATGGGGAAACAGTTTCTTTGAAGGCTGCCAGGGTAGCAGCTATGGAGTCTGAAGTGGTCTAGTTTATCCATAGAACAGTTTGGGTCTGCCAGACTAATTTCATACAGAAAGTCTGGCAGGTTGTCTTCAAAGGTTTCTTGTCAATGTTTGCCTAAATTGTTTTTCTCACTTTTACTACATGATTTGGCATACAAACCATGGTAGAGTTGCTGTTCAAATATCCACCACTTCTGGGGCTACCTGCCCGTGGGAAAGCAAGCCAGGGCAGCCAAGCTCACATCTCTGGAATTACTGATATAGGATTAACATTGGGTGAAAACAAACTGCAACCACAGGTCTTGTGATGTGAATATTAGTTCTGCAGCCCATTCACCTGAATCATGACATCCCTGACTACAAGGTTCTTCTGCCATGGGTTCGTTTCCTTCCTCTTTTCCTTTGGACTGCTGTTGTTTCAGCAGAGGCTTCAGGTGGCTGAGTTTTTAGGAACTGAATGTGTGAACAAAACTGTTTCTGTTTTTCTTCAAAAACACACTTTATTCCTGGGTATGGTAAAAAGTTCTGGTGTTACATTCTCTCTGCAAAACCTGCCCATACTCAAGCAAGGTGGGAAATGCAGGGGTTGGGTGCAGGTGGCTCAGATCCATAGGTTTTGCTTGAAGCTACCCAGTTTCTGGGAGTTAAAAAAAAAAAAAAAGAACAAACCCAGACCAGGCTGAGATTTCTGAATGCAACTGCAGCCACCTCCCTTCACAGGACTCATTTTTAACAGAGCAAAGAACAAGACTGCTTTTGCTCTTCTGGTGTCCTCCTCCCTCTTTCACTGCCTTCAGCCACTGCAGGAATTGGGAAGGGGTGGGAATGCTGAGATTGATGAGACAGGGCTTGTTTAAAAGCCTGTGCTCAAGTAGGGCAGCGCTATGGCAGCGTTTTTTTCCTTCTTCTTAGTGCTTGTGATCCCTTTCATTCTTCCTTGCAGCTACAGAGGAAAATCTGGAAATATATATAGTAAGCTGCAAAACATATAGAGGTTACTGGGGCAGTAAAGTATTCGCATGGATCAAATAAATAGCCTGTCTTTTAAGGCCAAAATTAAATCACACTAAGAAAACATGTCACGATTTTCTTTTTTCCATGAGTAGGGGTGGTGTTGAAGTGATTCATTGGAAGTTGTACCTCTTCTTAGCCTGTAAAGGATAAATGTGCACTTGGGAACATCAGTGCCTCAAAATTAGAACTCGAGGAACGTTTGTTCTCTAAAACAACCTCGTCAGTGTTCCAGGGCACAGTTGGGTGTACAGGTGCTGCTGGGTGGTGGTTTAATCTCTTGGAACTGGGAGGTATGGGTTCCAGAAGCTCTGTGGGTCAGGTCCTGCTCTCCTGCGTATTTTCTCCCAAATGATGTGTGTGTGTTAAAACCCCAGTATCTGCTTTTAAATACAGAAATGACCAATGTGTTTGCTAGCAACTGTATGCTACATACGCATTCTGAATTTTTTTTAAATGGAGACTCCTGGTTATCTTTTAATGTGGCTGAATTCTGTATGAACAGAAATTTATTGGCTACAGGATAGATAAGCAAGACTTGTATGTTAATAGAAACATAATCATGTTAGCTGTGCTGTCATTAAAAAACAAATTCATAAAAAGTATAACCTTAGGAGACATGAGTTGCTACTACACTTGCTAACACTTAATTCTGTTTGTTGGCTTTCTCACACTGCCTGTCTTTCGGCAACATGTTGTGTTGCAAAGCTGGAGGCTGCTCCCCTCAATGCAGAGACTGTCCAATTTACATTCTAGTCATACTGCAGCGTTTCATAACCCGCTTTAGCTTTCCCCTGGCTTCCCAACAGCTCTGCTGCCTGACACTGCACAGGGACCTCTGGGGCGAGGGAAAGGGCCTGGGAGTCCCAGGGAAAAAGAGAAGCAGCCAAGAGTCTTTGCCAAAAGAGACTGTCAATACAGGGTGCGAGGCATTGGCCTGAGAAGTGGTGTGAGCTGGTGGTTGGATCAGTTGGCTGTTGCACAGGGATTTTAGTGCAGGTGTCTGGACTGAAAGGAAAGACTGGAGTTTTGCTGCTTTGGATAACTCTTACTTTCCACATGGGAAAGCACTGAGAGAGTGTGTAGGGGAAAGCAGATCAAAAATGCCATGCATCTGAGTATCTGGTCAGAGTTCCCATAAATGCTTTAAGAATGAAGCCCTTTCAAATGTCTTTCCTCTAGTTTGGAGCAACCAAAGAATGACCTGTTAAAAACAAAGAGTTCTTTAGAACTGATCTCTGTGCTAACAAATTCCTCAAAACATTGACATGTCTGAATACTTGCTGGTTTTTTTATATTAGCACTCCTTTTAATTTTGTTTCATGAGCCCTTGCCTAAATAAAGTGCTCCGAGTTAGTGCCTCATGTTGAAAGAAGACATGCTTGCTGCTGCTGAGAACCCCCGCTGGAGCAGCCCAGGATGTGGGTAGTGCTCTGACACCGTGCTCTGATGTGCAATCTGCATCACTTGCTGTGAGATGGAGAGAGAAATTTTACTTTACTAACTTTCATGTTTTGTATTGTAGCCATGAGACGCAAACGACCTGCTGGGATCATCCTAAGATGACTGAGCTTTACCAGTCATTAGGTAAGACATCTCTACCAGATGTTCAGTGGGGGGTTTTTCTCAGTTGGATGAATTGTTAGGGCAAAGATTTTTTCCAGAGGAAATAAACTAAAATTAACTGACAGAGAAAGACAGTGTGTTTATTGAGATTAAGGTTTTCTGCAAGGGGAATATATGAGGCATAGTAACACATTTCAAACATGCAGTAGAAAAAGATTGTATTTCAATTGGCGCATTAGGAGTGTGCGCTGGGTTTACAAAGTAATTTGGGTGTATTGTTGCAAACTCTTACTGAAAGACTGGGACAGAAATTTAAAAAAAAAAAAAAATCCTGAATCTTTTCACTGTCTAATCTGCTTTACAAAAGGCAGATGAAAAAAATCAAACCAAGCTGATGTTAATGTTGACTTTTGGATGGTGGGAAGCCAATTGAAGCAATTTGCCAAATTCTGTTACCACTGCTTTATTTTTAAAGCACTTTCAATACTTAGAAGGCATAGCAGCTGTCATGATGTCATTTTGAATACCCAAATTGCATGCTTATTATGACTTCAGATGTGCCTCTCTGGTGGAGGGGTTTTTTTCCATATTTTAGCAGCTTTGGATTTTATTAACAGAAGCACATCCATAAGATAAAATAGGTTAATCTATGCTCTAGTTTAGGCTGCTTGGCAGACCATTTAATAGCTAACCCTTTGCTTTTAATGGTTCTGTTAATAAATAATGGAGGATATAATAAAAATTAAGCCATTTCAGTGAAAGAAATATCAGTGAATACGCTGCATTCGTAAAGAAGGTTACGTCTGTACAGCAAATGGATATAAACCAGCTTTGAACAAGCCAGTGTGAACACTGGGACAGTCAAATCTAGCATTCAGTGCAGGCTTATTTACCATGGTGAAAAATAGCTTAAATTATCACCTGCTAAACTCTAGTTTAGCTGCTCAAAACGGTCTAATTATGCCAGTGTAATCTATTTCAAGCTAACTCAGGTATCTCTATGGTGCTCTGCAGTTGAAGGCATACTAAAAATACTTTAGAAAACTGATATGATAAAATGAAACGAGACAGTGTGAAGATTTTTTTTTCCTTATAGCATTAGCAGTGTGGCAGCAGTTTGTTTAAAAATTAACCAGAATACAGCTCTGTATGCCAAAAGGGGATATACGATGTATAAGATCAGGCCAACCAAATGCAAAAGAAGACAAGTATTGACTTGCCATTTAATTATAATGTATTGCCCTGCTTGCCTCCTTTCTATTTCTGCTCTTAAAGTGAGTGGTTTAAAAGTTTCAGGACAAGCAGTAATTGCACATGCAGGCATCCCTTTAATACAGGTAGGTCTTCAAACAGTTGCTTGTTAATTGAACTGCACTCTGACTCTGCAGCCGCCTTTGATCCAGGGATTGCGTGATATTTCTGATACTGTTGTTGGTCAGACCCAAAGTCCTGTTGCAACTGCTTTTCTTGTGTTAGTTCCCTGGTTCAGCTAGAGTACTCTTGAATATCAAGAAGTGAAAAGGTAATAAGGGAGAAAAGTGTCCTCATGGATTCAGGTCAGCAGTTCAGAAGATGTGTGACTGCTGAAGTCAGTTTGCATTTACTTTAACTGAGTTTTATTATTGTGAGTACCACCCAAATGTCAGGAGTTTAAGATAGCCTTATTTCTTACTACATAAAGAAGGAACATGTTCAGGCAGATTTTGTTTCTTTTTCTTACTTACTTGTGAGCTTTTTTTTTCTCTCCTGCTATTTTTCTTTTCAGGAGTGAGAAATGTCCAAAAGAGCAGTCATCTATCTGGCTAGTTTTATTTCTTTTGGAGCTGAGACCAAATACTGATTAATATGGAAGCAACGCTGATTTTAGCAAAGGATGAATAATGTGTATTTTTCTGAGTAAACTGAGGTGTCCATCTATGTGTACAAAACAGATTAGACAAGGTGATTCTTTGTGCAGTGCCACATGGGTGAAGCTTTGATGAAAGTGCTACTGAATAACCTACTGATTTATTTTATTTTATTTTTGAACTTGGTGTAATCATCGTTGCCTAACTCTCACACAAACTGTATAATACAAGTATAACCCGTTTAGTCCTTGAGCAGAACCCTTGATGTATTTTCAGTGCTTTGCTTTGCCTCAGGTCAAAACGGTAATAATGGGATGTTTGAAGTCTTTTCAGACTGCTCAGTAATATATTATCTGAGAAGATGTTATTAAAGTCGATTTTTGTATTGCGTACTCATTAGATCCTATTATTTTACCCCACATTAAGATCCAAATTTTGCTTTTCATTCATATGAACAAGCTAGTAAAGAGCTAGTATGTATGCATTTTAAAAATCTGGTAGAAAACATGAATTCTACAATCTGGGTAAATGTAAAAAAGTGAGACTAAGTACATCAATACTGTCAAGAGTTTTCATTTCCATTTTCCAACTCCTACACTTAGCCTGTAGGGAATAATTGTGCTATGTGATGTAGCTCTCTATACATGCCAGTATTTTATAATTTGCTAGGGGATGCTTATGTCTAATTTAAAGTCTTACAAATTACTAAAAGCTTAATTTTTTTTAGTGAATGAGGAAGGTGCATCCTGGCACAAGGTAACGTTTCTTATCTGCCTATGTCTTTGAGATGCAAGAGACACTTCTCTAACAAAGAGGAGTAACATTAGTTTTAATCTTCATATATCCAGTTCTCACACCTACAAATTGCTGCATTATATTTTGCTAAAATAGATGAATTTCAAGTGTCATACTGTAGTGTCTTTAGTGATTTGGGTACTTACAAAAATGAAGCTAAATTACTTGGGAGCATTATTTGGTACTAATAAAAGAAGGTAGGAATGTGCTGTGTACACTTTTGTCTGATCAGATGGTCAGTTGAGGAAGTCCTATATCCTGTCTTCAATAGAACTGCATCAGAGACTGCAGGAAGAACCCATAGGAAGAAATTGTAAAATAATCTGCCCATGAAGGAAGTATTCTCAAATTCTCTTTGAGTTCCTTTGCTGAAACATGGCTGGTTATAAAGATATCCGTAATAACTGTGAAATACTTCATTTGAAATTTAATATGTGTAGCAAAAATTTCCAACTGGCTGTTCTTTTTAACAGAAGCTTTTCCTTTTAAGATACTAAAATGCTTGTTCTTGACTGCTCTTCATTGTTTAAAACAACGTAGCATTTTATCATTTTTAATGAAGCATCTACTCCTTGCTCAAGGTGGACAATTTTCACTCTTCATTTAAAGTTATGGCTACTTAAAGTTACATTAAAAAAAGTCTATATTGAATTACTTAATTGTTGTTTAATGTCTAGTCAAAGTGGCAACAGGTAGTAGATGTTGGTATAGATTAAATAAGAAGGAATCATATATGAATTACAGAAACAGAGGAATAATAAATGCTGAAATAGGAAAGGTAATAAAAACTGGCGAGTCTCAAAGGTTCAGAGGCTGACAGACATCCCTTGGTTTGTATTTACACCATTATGAGCCACTCCCATTTTCTTCTAACTTCCCTCTGAAAATCTTCCAAGTAGAGAACTGCTCCAGCTGCTTTTCTTTCCAAAAGTAGTTCCTCTGCAGCAGATGTGCTGTTTTTACACCATTCTTTTACAATCCTATTACAGATTTTCTCATGGTGACTGCAGGGCATCACTGAAAAGATAATTTGTGTTATTTCACTGTCTTGGAGGGCAAGGACCTTTGCATGAGGGGAGAGACGGGAAGAGCAGGAATGAAAGTGTTCTGGAGTTGCTTCATTTTTTTTCGGATTGTCTACTGAGAATGAACGTTCAATGTCAGGCACCTTAGCTTAGGACAGTGGTATTTTGCCTTTAAAACCTACCTTTGCTGCGGTGGCCCAGGAGGACTTGGTCTGCCGTGCCATACTGTGAGTGTCCCCCTCCTCCAGCCTTCCATGTCATGTCAGTATGAGTCTCCTCAAGGTGCATTAGTGTCACCCTGAACAGTAATTGCAGTGGCAGGGTGCAGTCAGAAATGTTGCCATGTGCATCTGCTTATCAATCCTAATTCACTGAGGCAAGACACGAGGGTGAAAACCACCCTCGCCCTTGCAGGGTGCAGTGCACTGGTGACAGCTCTCCATTTAATTTGGAGGGTTGGGGGGGCAGTTCTCTGTGGATTATGTGAAAGAAACGTCAGAGTTGCTTAACACAAGGTGGGAGAATGCTGGAAGGTACCTCTGAGCCTCCTCTGGGCTTCTGGAAGCAGCTAGTGTGTTGGTCTTGTGGCTGGCCACTCTTTTACAGCAATATGAGCTTCTGACTCCCAGTGACCAAGATGGATAAACATCATCCTTTTTGGATTGTCCATTTTATTTGTCCTTCTGAAATGCTACCACTTGTTGTTATTACAGTTTTTATTAGAAACTTCTAAATCATATCTTTACTCTGAGGTTTTATTCAAATTCAACTAATTGTTTTCCGTGTTTGTACTAGTAAGACCCTTGCCTACTGCATACATCAATCATCTGATATCTGCTGAAATTCAGTGAGATGGTACATATGGCCTTTCTTTAAAGGTTGCTTATTCACTAATGTCCTTTTCAAGGTCATTTCAGAAAATAGGATTGGTTGGGTTCTGTCAGCCTTGGATAGTAGTCAGACCTAGAGCAGGTCATCTTTCTGTGTGATTGCATCCTCTCAGCATCATGTAACAGACAATAAACGTATGGCAGAGAAGTAGAACTTAAATGGTAGAAGTTAAGCTTTCATCCCTTGAAAATGAAAGCATAAGTGTATTAGCAGTGAAATTTATTTATTTTAGGATTTTCCAGCATGACTGCTTCTCCTCTAGCATGTATGAAGGATTTCTGACTTTTCTGACTGAAAACTCCACTCATATCCCAACCCCATAACAGGGTGTAACCCAGGTGTACATCATATCCTTTCTTACACATTTGGGTTTGCTGGCTGAAGAAAAGACATTACATGTTAGTTGGTCTGGTTACAAGGATGCTGGCACATGCTGAGCTGTTCAGCCACTGGGCCTAGATGC